TCATAAAATTTGCCCATACAATTTCTGCTTCAATCCATAGCCTCACGAATTGCATGCGTTTTTTTCTGGTAAATTTCATCAGTCACTGTTGCAGCTCGCGAATCTCTACGCCATTTCGTCGACCCCGTCTTGGCGCAGAACGGAGTCGCTCAGAGATCGCATAGGCCTTTGCTACGTCTTTCAAAATCTGATTTCCTTGTCTGATGAGGTAGGCGATTTCGAGCACGAAACGTGTTTGCGTTATGTTCCCTGAGAATCTGAGAGTGAAAGATTGAATATATATCGTTTTACAGCTGAAGATCGTATACACGCCGAGTCCAAGCGGAAGCTTCAATCTACGTGACTTCCACCATGCCGTTAACAATTTGCCTGCTCATGGCTTTCAGCCTCAGATCGACGATTCTGGTGCTCTCCGACCTCAACTATATTCTCCGACCATACTCATTTTGTTAACTGTGTTTGTTGATTCATAATTTGTTGCAGATGTGAAACTTTCCACGGTCTTGAACGATCAAGTTTTGTACCAGTGGGAGGGTAGAGATATCATGAGAAAAGTGCTTGTGCTAACCTCCTGCTTACCTCGAGATGTGGACTTGATCATGCAAAACACTCTCATGGTTAGCCTTTCATTACTTATTTTCGATATTTTTGAATTTTGCACCATGTTTGCTTCTGCAGCTTTGTTTTCATGGTTCTCTATTGGTGTTGGCTTCTTTTCTGCAGGCTGCGGCGGATAAGTGTGTTTCGGTGGATTTTCTACTATTTGAACCGAAATCATCCCACCTCAGTAATACCAAAGAGAATATCAACAATTTTCAAACATGTATATCTGATCTTGATAATTGCTCCTTTCAAGCATATCTCCCAGGTTTTCCACTCCTTCCCTTCCTCTTTATATGTAGGAGAGTAGGACACACCACTGCGATTACCTCCTTCAATTGGTCTGCTCATTTCCGTAATTTGTTCCCTGTTTTTTGATAGTTATTATTGTTATGGTCTAGGAGACTAGAAGCACAGTAGGCTTTCGAGGTAGAAAGCTGGGGACAGTTTATGTTGACTATTAACCAAATTTTCAGATGTCAAAGTACTGCATGGCCTGGTAAACCGATGGTTGCAGGATTTAAAGGATGACATGGAAGAACCACTACAAGCTCGTTTTAACTTCAAGAACAATCTTGTGGGCTCTGTGAACCAGATATTCTGCAACTTGTACATATCAGTCAATCCGAATATCGATGGTTTCTATCCCTGTCAGGTACTATGTAAATACTACTTTGTCAGCTTTATTGCTCTTCTACTTCTGAATCATCCATGTTGGCTAAGAATACTTCACGGATGGTAGATTTTTATGGTCATTTTTACCATCGCAATTTATGAACCGAAAATCACTTCAAGATCTCACGTTATTTTCTCTGGTGTTACAATTGAAAACCTCTTAGAGATGTTACCTCTGATATTTCTTAGAAGTGTAATATCTGGTTTCGTAGTCTCTGGATCCAAAAGCTAACTAAAATAGCCATCATGGTTGATTATATTTGCTTCAACAAGATTATGTGTCAATAGTGCGAACCATAAACTTGGTGCAATCATATATGTGCTGTGATGGACAGCCTGTGTGGTTTGTTATTCCAAATCCAAACAGCCGTTATCAGTCTGCTTAATTAAAAAAATGAATAGTTAACACGACTCACTGCTGCTCTATCCTCCCTACGTGGAAGCAAAATATGGCAGACAGATTTTCTTGTTATATGATATACTCCTCCATCCCTCTGTTTTCATTTCACCATCACACCTCAACTTTAAATTAAGATTTTGATGATAGGTTTGCTGCTTATAGGCATGCAGATGTCATGGCATTTCGCTGGAAGATGCTGTTAGAAATAGAGTCGAGGGACCTTCTTGTCCAGTCACAGGCTGTAATCTTGAGACATGTGATGTGATTGAAAATTCTGTGAAAGTTGGAGAAAAAACAATCCTTTTACTGCCCTCATTTCCAAACTCTATGAAGCTCAAGCGTGCTTCTTTGCCACTTGACTTCAATGTCATTGAGAGGACTAACTTGGGGTCTCTAAGTGAAGGTAAATGTTAAGCTTGAAGCTCAACATTTATTAGTTCAAGTCTGAGCTTACTAGGAAATTGAAAGCCTGATTAGTCCTTTTAGTGCTTGGTGTCAACATTGACAATTAATACTACCCCCTTTTTGGCAATTTTTCCTCAGGTGTTATAATGGGTGCTTCCTATGTTGTGATTCCATCAACTTGTAATGAGATAGAAACTACTCCAGATGAGATTGATCAGTCAGAATTAAATATTCAACGTGTGTTCAAGGCCTTCCTCTGATTCTCTTCTTTTTAGCTGCTACATTTTTCCAGGACAACCAAATTCAGAGACTTTGTGAATGTCTAATAAGAGGCCTTACATGAAGTCTCAGGATGTGTCCTTGACTCTTTATTGTATCCATCTTTCTTCTTTTCTCTAACCAGGCTACAAATTTTGTAGTTTTCCAAGGGCTTTGCAGTGCTCTACATTCACTGGACCAGTGTTTGGTATGTTCTTCAAATTGTAATATAGAAACTATGAGGCAGGCCACTTTGCACAGTTATTATATTCTTCAACCTTCAGACAACGGGCCAATGCTTCTCAGGGTGAACATTGAACTTCTCTTTTAGTTTCTATCTATACTTCCATTCCATCTTCGTCTAGTTGTATGCATGATATGTTTTGGCTTATCTTTTTTGCATTTATTGTCTTGACTCTGTTGTATCTTGTATGTGTGTTAAGCATTGCTATAATATTTGCAGCGCGTTGCAGGATCAGAGGAAGTTTTGCATGTTCCTGATCTCAATCAATTAACTATTTCTTCAGTAAGGAAGGAGATTGAGAACTCCATTAAAGAATCTTTGTCAAAGGTATGAACCAGAACCATATATCTGCTTGCATTCTTCTTCTGGAACTCTTCTCGGAGAAATTTTCTTTTCAACCCTTTTGTAGAGAGAATGACGTGAATGTCTTTAAGTAACTATATGACAACGTTGTCGAGTTTTCCAATTGGATCTAGGCCATGCAGAGCTGCATGCTAAGCCACAATTTAAACCAAATTTGTTTTCCAATTGGATCTAGGCCATGAAGAGATCATATATGTAGCAGATTCATGAGAGTTTAGATTATTGACTTTTCTGTCACAAAACATTTACAATTTGAGTTTTCTATTCTCAACTTTTTGCATTTAAGTAATTAGATAAAGCGTATTAGATTGTTGAATGAGGCAGTGATTCAGCCTTTCCTTCTCTGAACTTTTTGCAGGTTGATGTAAGAGACTATAATCCGATGCTGCATGAGAGGGGCTTCCATCAGAAATTAAACTTGCTTGTAAAAGAGAGCTTACAGTTTGGGTAATTATTCTCATCATCCACCTTGAACCTGCATAACATGTCAAAATAATCATGCAGATCGACAGGCTTTTAGTGCCACTGTGAACAGGAGAAGAAAAAATTAGAAAGAAAATGATAGAGAAACACACTTTTAGCTACAAAGTTAAATATGCCCTTGTTACTCTCGACGTGCATGCTTCATTTCTCTCTATTATCATTTGAGATATTTAGGCACGATTTCAATCAATTGTAGGCTTTTGTGTTTAAGGATGGCCTCATTTTCATCTATTCAAAACAATAACCAATTGGTCAGAAATTCTATTATGTATAGAACTTCACAACTGATGGAATGAGATGAACCCCTGCGTTCTTGCACATGTTTAGGACTGGGTTTAGAGTTGCTATTGTTAATCAAGAAGTATAGCAACTATATCTGAACTTAGGGTGAAAGCTTCCTCTGATATTGCTTTGTTGATGTGAATATTCCAGGTCAATATCCCTTATATTTAAAGAGGAAACCAGCGAGCCAAACGCAACCCAACCAAAATTTCCAGAGGCGATTGTACAGCCAAATTCAACAAAAGATGTTGCCTTCATCAGAGAGGAAACCTCAGAACTAGACCTAACAGCCCAAGAAGACAAAACATCTGCTTGCATTACAGAAGAGTGGGAGAAGCTTATTGTCAATGAAGTCTCTGAGATACATTCTCCAGTTTGCACTTCCAAACCCAAGCTAGACCAATCACTTCTTCTATCACCACCAGATGGTAACCGGCAGCTCTACGCCAAAACCACAAGGATTTTAGAGAGGCTTGAGGTGCCAAGACAGTTCAAAAGAGAATCAGTTTCTCCAATTCTCGCAAACACCAAGAATTTTAGTGTTGAGGTAAAGAAGCCTTTGGTCGAGTCCCAGCCTAATTGTGCTCCACACCAATCCATGGCCACCAGCCAACTAATGAAACCGAATTTCCAGAGGCTAAAAAGGAAACATAAATAAAGAGTGGGCAGCCCTATGTAAAGCATGAACTTAACTTCAGGTATGTGCCATTGCCTACAAGTCGAAGAACCTGGTATGTGGGAATGGAAAACCTAGTTTCATCGTTGTTATGTTTTTTTTTTCTTGGGTTACAAGGCGGGGCGAACCCGAAAACCAAAAACCAAAACAAAAAAAAAAACTAACAAAGAACACTTGGGACCGGCCTAATCTGTCATCATCATTGTTAGGTTAGATTCCATGATAACATAGTTTAAATATCAAAATCATGAGAGAAGTTTATAAAAATTACAAACTAGCCATTCAAACTTGATAACTCATATATAATACAGATTTATATTCTAACACAGGCTGCCTAGTAGTAATATATAGTATATAATAAGTCAATCATTCATTCTACAAACATGCTTTGCACAAACTCTCTCTGCACCTCTCTCTCTCTCTCTCTCTCTCTCTCTCCCCACCCTGCAACTTGTATAATTGAAAATGACCATAATGGGCTTAGGCCACATCAAATAAGGCATACACGAGGATCACAACTCAAAGGCCAGTGGCCTAACCACCATCTTTTTGCCTGCTATGTAAAGCGAAGAAGCTAAAAAAGATTGAAATAATAATTTACATAAAGCAGCAGCTCAGATCAGAATCTCTTTGTATTTTGATGGAGAAAGTAGGATGATGGACATGGATGGACCATAATGTACATGGTGGGGACGCACAGGAAGACTTTGTTGTTTTGTTTTTTCCTTGATTTGTGATCATCAGAAATTCTCTTTATGGAAATCAAATTGGGTGGTGGTCTTGTGAGAGAAATCATGTGATAGCTGTCGCAGCTCATTGGCAAGCGCTGGTAGCCCACAGTAGAACACCCCTGCAAGACACAAACACCTTAAATTATCTCTCTAAAAATTAAAAAGGATAAAAGTTTAAATAATGAATGATTAAGACATGGATATTTTAAGTGTTAATCATCCACATGTCGACAGCAACAGAAAGAACAATCAACACGTAACATGTAACAGAATTCAAATCGCGAATAAAAGCCTTTTTAACACTACTATTTTACCTCTTAGGCAAATAAATACAACTTATATCTAAAATGTAATCGGTAATGTAATCAGTAGATGTGATGAATAAATAATTATTATTGATAGAGGGCAAGAAAGGACTCACCAACGGTAGCGTTGGTGTGATCAAGTGCAATGCGCTTGTAGACCTCACGCCAGTTAGGCTTGGCAAAGTGCGACTTGACACGTGTCCCAGACACAATATCAACGCCATTCTTTGCATGACTGAGAGACTGAAGCATGTGAATGAGGGCAGAACGTGCATCACCTTCCTCATAAACACTGGTGCAATAATTGTGAAACTCAATAACCCTATTGTGGTCCAATTCAGCCACCTCATTCATTGCCCCTTTGAACCAATCAAAGGAGCCTTGCTCTCTTGTCACCCAATAAAAATAGGCCCTCTTGGTCTTAAAGTTATGGAGCCCCAGTTGGCTTGACCCGGATCCGGATCCGACTTTTGATATCCTGCTTGGTGCCCCATTTTCTAAGGCACCCATGTCCTCCCCCTCCTCCTCTATGGCCTTTATGTTGTTCACTATGTCCTTCAAAATGCTGATCATTGGGGTTGCCCCAATCCCTAGCCCTACTAACAACACCACTTCATAGTTCTTGTAGTCTTGAGCCGGTGCTCCATAGGGCCCATCTATCAACACTTTAGGAAATCTGGTTTTGAATTCATCATCATCACATCAATTATTTCCCACCAACATGGAAAAAGAAAAAAAAAAAAAAGTAAAAACCCATTATGAGGTTGCTATCATTAATAGACACAAAGCAACTTTCTTATCAATAAAGAAAGGGATAAAAAAATTCCAAGCCCATTCAATCTTCTACTTTAGAGAAAATGATAACACTTACCTAGTGACCATGTTTGTTAGAGTCTCTATCTATTATTATATAATATCTTTAACAGCAATCAATAATAATCTACTTTTTCTTCTCTTGTCCCCAAGTGAAGTACTAATCCACTATAATAATCTACTTTTTCTTCTTTAGTTGGAACGTTTGCTATTTCCGGCCAATAATGCTATGTCATGTGAAATTATTATCACGTCATAGTGTTATTGGCCGGCACTCTCACTTTCTATAACTCTTCATAGATTAGAGAAATGCATCAATATATGCATTGTGGTCCACTAATACGAATATTAAAACAAATCTCTTTAGTTAATTAAGGTTGCTTACATTAAGTTGTCAGCTCCTTGCATATGGTCAGCTCTGAGAAGTCCGCTTTTCCCACTAGGAGGAGGTTGGCATACCTAAACAAATCAATACAAGAAGATTAGCTGCCCATGTTTAGTGGATAATGAATTTACATGGCATTATTTGTTCTTTTGTGATGAACTATAAGCTTCCTGTACCAAACCCGTATCTTATTTATGTGTCTGTTGTTCCTTATGATATACAAACTTCTGATGTACATGAGACTGTTCTGTTCCCAGAGCAATTTGCAATCTGAAACACACCTGAGAGAACACAGTTTTAAGTTGCCGGGTCCAATCTCCGACAATTCGAATATGAACACTAAGGTGGTTATCTCCAGGGGCTGAGGTGATGGAAAATGGGTGCCTGTGTACATTTCAAACACCAAGTACTTATTAACAAAGTAAAATAGATAAGCACGCGAAGAAAAAAAACGTGTAATGAGAAAAAGGTTTGGAGACGGACGTTACTTTATGTTGTTAGCCTGTCAATCCGAACATTACATTTTAACATAATTGTACTTTGTCCATAGTCATGATTTACAGTACATGACATGTGTTAAAATAATGTTTGTAGGGATCTTACCATTCAAATGGAGACACAGCAGCACACTTAACAAACATATATTGCCCACTGTGGTATCTGAAGCCTTGAGGCTTGGACAAATGAAGGGCCAAGACATTCCCAGGATAAAGAGCCACCTTCACCATAATTAAAGAGAAAAAAAAATAATCATATATACTTAATTATGGTTTTTATGTTGATTAGGGATGTTTTCTCCACCATAAACACATGAATGTAAAAGCTTATCAAGTTGTTCACCTTTAGTATCTTAACCGGCTTGATGCTGGATCTGAGTGCTCGAACCAATCTTTCTCCGGCATAGAGAGTGAGTGGCACAGCTAGGTACATCCAGGTCTGTAAAATCAAACAGTAAAAAGATTAATGTGCTGATTAAGATCAGGTGAAAAGTAATTAGAGGTAATTAATCACAAGTTTTTGTACCGTCTTCTTGTACCATTCCTTGGTCAGGTAAAGATAAATGCCATGGATGATCAACAAGACATAGACTATGATGAAGAGGTGGTGTGAATACCAAAAGGCATTGAACCCAGTGAGCTTCTTTAGAGGCTCAGTGAGCTTCTTCAGAGGCTCAGGCAGCTTGAGCTGACCTTTTCTGAAACAAGGGGCAGCCAATGTGAAGGCTATTGCCATTAACACTACCATAACAATCCCACTAACTCCTTCCAGTGACTTAAGAAAGTGCCAATAATTTGAAGGTTGATCGTCCCCGAAAAAGGGCTTCATCAGCTCATACTTATCGCTGCTGGCATGAATGATGCGAGGGAAGTCACATGCTAAATGAGAAATTCCATGTATGCCAACTCCAATCCCAATTCCTATAGCTATGACCTTGTGGAAATTGAGGTTGTCGTCAAAAGGAACGACGATGCCTAGTTTGGTCTTGTTCCTGAGCAAAGTTATGGTGTTTCTGCAGACTGGTAGCAGAATAAGAGCCATGTTGAATTTGAGTGTCTCTGCTGCACCTTTGGCCATGCACACACAATGCCCCATTACTTCATATGCAGCTTTGTTTCGATACTGTACGTACTTGTAGGCAAATAGGCCAGCCATGATCCCAACCCACAGTGTCACTACCCAAACTCTCTTCCAATTGTCTTGCAAGAAGTACTTGAGGTCGCTACACCATCTCCTTAATGGGTGCTCTCTTGTAGGCTTAAGCTTCTGGCTCAGCATTTTGCTTAGGTTTCGGCTATCTTTTCCTCTTACTGCAGTCTCTTCTGGTCCTTGCAACAAGAGAGTTTCCAGGCTGTCTATCTGTTCCCACAGTCATCACCAAATGATCATGAATTAAGAATCTAAAGACAAGAATTCCAATTTCTAAATTCTAATTAGGAGTTGAATTATCATCTTTTAATTTATTTACCATGATGTGTCCCAGATTGTCTGGATCTAACTCTTCCATGATCAATGCTGCATATTCATCTGCTTGGTTTTGGATGTTTGAGAGTTTGTTGGCAGAAGCACTGAAGCTAATAATCTGCATTTTGTAATTTAACAATTTGATTTAGAAGATGTCATATATTCTGTCTGAGAGACTGACACAAAAATCACATGGTAGCCAGGATTGGTTAAGATTCACATGGCAGATATGTCATACCTCTTTGACCTCCTCTATGGTGATTCTTCCATCTGCATCTTTATCAACCCTGAATTTTACATATTTACCACTCAATTCAATTTCATGTTGCTCCATGATCAATCAACCAATCAATCAATAGAGATGAGAATAAGAGAGAAATTAAGCAATTCCTTTAGAAACTCTCCAAAAAACAAAAAGTGGGTTGAGAAGAAATTACATGTCAAAGAAAGTTTGAAGCCTGGAGTCAAATCCCTGCTCAGAGATTTGAGCCCAAAACTCGTTCAACTGTTCCTTGGTGATGGAATCTTCCTTAATATCCAGCTTTCTAGCAAGAGCATCGAACAGCTTCCCGGCAAACTCTTTTGATTCCTTATTCATTCCTACATGAGTTACATCCACAGAAATCAACAAAACATCAAATACTGTAATGCAAACAGGAACTGAAGCATCATTAGGAACAGCCATAAGTACCTATACATTCACCGAAACGTGAACGAGGAAGCAAGCCATTGCTTGAAGCAGTGAGCTCATCGAACTTCTTCTCAACTGCAGGCCACCCAGCATTACCATCTGTCTTGCTGATGAACTTGAGGCCCTTCAAGGCAGGAGCTGCTGCTGACTGTGTTCGATCAAACCGCCTCCTTGGATGAGGGGCTGCCACTGCTTGTTTTGAAAATGAGGCCAGGCGCTTCAGCTCCTGAGAAACCTGTTTGATACGAGCTGAAGCCGTCCTCACAACTGATGAACCTTTAGGAGATTGATTCTTCTCCAACCCTTTTCCAAGTAAAGTCATCTCCACATGATCTTCATGATCATCAGCAGCAGGCTTAACGCTGTGCACCGCCACGGAGTCTTCTCGAACATCCAAAATGACCTCAACATGAGGCTCTTCATCGCTTGTGCTAATGCCAGGCTTCACAGCAGAGCCTGCAGGCTCAGCTATGTTGAACTTGGCAGTCTTCTTGTTGCCTGATCTTTTGTTCAGAGGTCCACTTAGAGGACCGCTGTAATTCACCATTCTTTCGCTGCCAACGATCTCTGTATCCGAGTGATAATGAACTCCTCCAACCTCATTTGTTCCCATTTTCTCAGGGACCAAACAAGCTTCTGTGAAGCAGAAATTTAAGCTGCTGTGGCTTGTAAGGTAAATAAGTCTCTCAGAATTTTGTACGTTCTCTCTAACAGAGAAGAAAGGCTGGCAATTCAAAAATGAGTGCAAGGGTTGTTAGATATGTTCTGTTTTCTTTCATTCCTTTCTGTGTCTTAGTGCTGGGAGTGTATGAGTGTAAGGTGTCTTGCATCATCAACTATTATTTATAGACCTTTTGAGACCATTTTCCACTGCAAAGAAAGTATATGCTATCTATCCAATTATGAGTTTTGGGTAAATCTCATACCAATCAACGGTTGTCAATCATTCATGCGCATGTGATCGACTAAAGCTAGCTTTTTCTCGAGAATATGACATGCCCTTGATTATGTCATTAATTCTACATAAGAACAGTATTTTGGTTGGTACTGCGGAAGTTACACTTGTTAATCACTCTTTTTTACTTTTTCCTTATCGCATAAAAAACTTGTATTACAAATATCATCTGTTGTTTCACGTGGTTTGCTATTCTTAATTTTGGTATTTTTAAAGATCAAATCAAAGCAAACAGAGAAAACCACTCGTCCTCATTTCAACAACAATGAAAACAAGAAAGCAAATGAAATGATGTCCCAATTTCATTTTCCCTTTTTTCTTGAGACTCAAGAAAAAAAAATTATAAAAGTAAAAGTAGAGATTGCAGCAACAATATCATAAGTATGGTTCCCGGAAAAACAAACACACAACTTGATTGGTTCGTGCTTACCAAAAAGCACCAAACATTTCTATTTGGAAGATGGGTTTTCTTTTTCTCTTTTCAGAAATTTATTAAATGTATAGATGCAATGTATTGTCCTTACACTTTCCCCATGATCCAAACAAGAAATCAAAGACAAACCGCCAACCACTCTGAGGCAGCTTGTATAAACAAACATAGTATGCGTTGTGCAGATGCCTGATAAAAATATTATTAAACAAATTAATTAATATAGAGTCAACATTAAAGTAGGTGCATAAATAAAGGACAGGACAGGTTACGAAATTCAAACCCACATTATTTTTTTCTTACATTTAAATCTACCATGTTTCCTGATAGTTTTTTTTTTTTTTTGCGTGATCATAGGGATTAAAAAAATAAAATAAAAAAGATAACGATTCACCAGTTGTACCTCAAAGATGGTAAAAGATCTAACAAAGCAAATTTGCCTTCTTCTAAATCATAAATTAACAGATGAATTTTAACAAAAAAAAATTAACAAAATTAGTTGACTTGATTGGAAGGAAGATTATATATTTAGAAGCAATGTGTCGGTGGTTAATTTGGTTTGAAAATTGAGATGGCAGATTAGTAAAACCAGTTTGGTATATAAGCAGAGACTTTGGGAATGGCATTTTCAGATGCATCGCTGGAACCAAGTAGAAGCAGTGGGGTGCACATCATTGAAAGAAAGAAAGAAAGAATCAGTCACCGTATATATAGGAAGCCTGCCATGTTTATTTTTTGAATCACAAAGAAAAAAACAAAATGAAAAAGAATCTTGTATCTGTAGATGAAAAAGAATCGATTGCTATTTTCTTTTCTTTTATAAGAAACAGCAGATTGAAACGTGAGCTTTAAAGGGCCACAAGTAATGGTTGTAAAATGGATTGTACTGAGGCCGAATAATAGTGTTGGTCCTGGCCGAAATTCTACTTTGGTCTCTTTAGTTTCAATTTTTGCGGTTTTAACTTCGTAGAACAATGATTTAATCGCATTATGGTGACTAAGCAACTGTTGATACCTCTTTATTTTCAGAGGTACCATATTTCAATCTACCTCCTCCAATGTTGTAACTAAAAGCACAGACAAATGGAAGAAAAAGCGGTAGCGTACCAATTGTTTGTTTCTATAAATGACTTGTAACAAATGCTTCATTGATTCTTATATACAATGAATAAATCACCTGTGCACTTCAATAAAACTTGTGCGCATGCCTATTACGAAAAGATCATAAGATTATATGGATTAACTACAAGATGGATTTTGTACACTGGTATTAGATATGTGGACACTCTGCTCTGATCCATTTCTTACAAAAGGGTTTCCGGTAGCATCTAAATCGATAATGACAGTCTCACCAGGCTTGTAACCTCCGGCAAGAAGCGCTTCGCTCAACGGATCTTCAATTATTGATGTAATTGCCCTCCTAAGAGGACGGGCACCATAAAACCTGTCATAGCCTTGCTCACATATGAGGTCCTTCACTGATTGAGACACCTCCAATCCCATTCCCAGAGACATTAGCCTTTGCTTCACCTCTTGTAGCATCAAATTTACAATCTCGAGCATCTACGATAAACAAATTATGTAAATCAATCGTCTAACTCAAACATCAAGCCATATTAATTCAACACTCATCTATAGTTTACATTGATTCCTTCAAATCAACGGAAGATGACAAACCTGAGCCTTTTGAAGGGGATGGAATACAACTACTTCATCTATCCTGTTCAGCAACTCTGGACGAAAATATGTCTTGAGTTCTTCCATTACTGTTGCTTTTATTCCAGCATAAGAAGTTACCTCATCATCTGCAAGCAAGAAACCAATGGAGCTCTGTCTACCCTTCGCAATGACAGTAGATCCCACATTGGACGTCATCACTACCAATGCATTTTTAAATGATACTCTCCGTCCCTATCAAACCCAAATTTTACATCAAATGAGACAATGATCGAAGACCGTAGTTAGGAAGAAAGTAAACACAAAACTTACTTGAAGAATCTCCCTCCCCCCAGCCCGACCCCAAAAAAAAAATTATGGAGCAACCAAGTAATAATTTTCCTTGCATTCAGCTAAGAACCTAACTAACTAACTAAATGACAAAGGCCACAAACCTGAGCATCAGTGAGGTGGCCATCTTCAAACATTTGGAGAAGGATGTTGAAGATATCTGGATGGGCTTTCTCTATTTCATCAAGCACAACCACTGTAAAAGGTCGCCTTCTAATAGCTTCAGTCAGAGTGCCTCCTTCTCCATAGCCAACATAACCTGGGGGTGACCCTATTAATTTGCTGACAGAATGCCGCTCCATATATTCACTCATGTCAAACCGTAGCATGGCTTCTTCCTGTAACCATAACATCAAGGATCACACAAAAATTGATTTAGATTGAATGTATGCCTACACCTCATCTCGCTCTTGACAGCATCAAGGTTCCATTGCATTTTCAGTCTAAACAATTATCCAATGTAGAAAGAATACCTTCTAAATAAAGAGTGAAGACTTACCGATCCAAAATAACATGCAGCCAAAGCTTTTGTTAATTCAGTTTTGCCAACCCCAGTAGGACCACAAAAGAGCAGTGCTGCAATGGGTCTGTTAGGATCCTTCAGTCCAACGCGGGATCTCTTAACAGCTCGAGAAATGGCATCAACAGCCTCTTCTTGACCAACAATCCGCTTCCTAAGCCTCTCATCAAGACCCACCAGAAGCATTCTGTCATCAGCAGTGAGCTGCTGAAGAGGGATTCCTGACCATAGTGAGGCAACTGCTGCTATATCATCTGATCTCACCACTGTAGGTCTGAAAAATATATTAGCAAGAAATCCAGTTAAATATCATTCTGAGACCTTGGGGAAAGGCCGACTGCCCTCCATACATACTTTCAGGGCCAAAAACCGTACTCATTGTCTGCTGTGGATGATGAAAAGGAGTCTAGCATAGGTTCTTTGGTATCATCCACACTAGGGGCAGTGCCATTTTTCAGTTCACTTGCTAGGACCTGCTTATATTAAATTCATAACACTAATATTATTAGAGGATCATTGAAGAAGGTAAGTATATGATAGAACTCAGGAGTGATGTCATTACCACTTCATGCATAGCCTGAACAGTTCGAATTTCTTGCCAATAATCATCCGGTGACTTTGAAAGTATACCAATTTGCTGTTCTCTTTTCCTCTTAAAAGCTTCCATTCGAGCTCTACTTCCCGCCTCATCAATGAGATCAATAGCTTTATCAGGTAGATATCTATCAGCTATATATCTTGCTGCCAGATACACAGCGGCATCAATGGCTTCTGGTTCGTATCTGCAATTGTGATGGGCCTCGTATTTCTCACGCAGACCTAAAAGAATCCTAACCGCATCATCCTAAAAAATTTCATATAAAGTCCAGTTATGAATTATACAATGACTAACCACTTTACTTATGATAAGATGAAAATATATATTGAAAAAGACCTGGCTTGGTTCATTAATCCACACAGGTTGTAATCTTCGAACAAATGCTTTATCCTTTTCAAGATGCATCCTGTATTCATCTATAGTGGTGGCTGCAATACACTGCAAACAGTGGAATGTTAATGCAACTTATACTATGCTTAAAGAACTTAGAAAACAAGCAGATCTCTTAAACACAGAAGAAGGACATGTTTCTCTAGCATCCTCTTTGACTTCCCCTCAATTCATTGTATGAGGCCCCTTCTTCATAGAATCTCTGGGTCAAACACTAAGCATAACCCCATAGATTAAGTACTAAGCAATATGCCATAGGCCAAGCATACAACAGTATGCCTTTTATTTAGAAGGACAAGTCTATGACCGGTCATGTCAATTACTAATGGGTGCCATTTAAGTGTTAGGTGTGCCTTCACTAACTAGATTTACTATTAACTACTAGAGGCACACTTGCAATGAAAATTACAGATGGCATGTCAGTATAGGAGGACTTTAATGGTCACTAAGATAACATATCAAGTAAGATTATATGAACGGGGAAATAAACAGATAACCTGTAATTGACCCCTCCCAAGTGACGGTTTTATTAGATTAGCAATGCCAAGACCAGACCCCTTATTTCCTCGTCCAACTGTTCCGGACTCAATAAGGGTATGTACTTCATCAATAAAAAGAATAATGTTTCCTGCAATGTAAGCACATCATGAATGAGCACAAGGGAACTGACTCTTTTCCTGTATGAAAATACAAAAAAAGTGCATTCACCTGATTTTTGTATGTCACTTAACAATGTGGTAACACGCGCCTCCAATTCTCCCCTCTCCTTTGAACCAGCCATTAAAAGAGCTATATCCAAGGACATCACACGTTTTGTCTGTGGAACAATAAAGCTAATCAAATATGTAATATACAGCTTTATTAAATTCAATAATATGTAACTGCATTTGGATGAGCGTGTAGAGCTAGAAGAACTATACAAATATGATCATATGTGAGAACAAACCAGGAGAAAAGCAGGGACATCTGCCTGTGCAATACTAATCGCCAGTCCTTCAACAATGGCCGTCTTTCCGACCCCACTTTCACCAAGAAGAATGGGGTTATTTTTGGATCTGCGACAAAGTATCTGAATAATTCTCTGCACTTCAGTATCTCGGCCAATAACAGGATCGATGAGCCCCTCACTAGCACGGGCAGTAAGATCCACACAGAATTGGTCCAAAACACTTTCCTCTGAAAGGACAGTGGAATTACAGAGCACCCTCTGATTTTGTAATTTTTTTTAAAGAAGAAAAACTAAACAGAGATGAGCAAACTTACTTCTTACCTTTTGTATTCTCAGAGGATATCTTAGCAGATGATTTTTTGGAAAAAGTTTTTTGAAATCCACCAGATGGTTCTCTACCATCTCTGGCAAGCTCTACTTGAAGTCTGGAGGCTGCCTCAGCTAACAACTGGTTTACATCTACCCCCAGTCTGAAATCACATTCATTTAGTAGGCTTCAGAATAGAAAATTGGCATGTATAAAATTGAACCTTAAACCCCCATATCTAAAATCATGTAAATGCAGCTCATGCACTTGGCAGTGTACTCTCTCTCTCTCTCTAGGGTTATACAATTTCACTAGCAAGATAGAAGATTTTGGTCATATAGCATGCAAATTTATTAAAGTATGAAAAATGTTTAATGTAGTTACAGCCCTGTACATAGGCAGATAATATTTAAAATCCACAAGGAAAAAAGTTTTTGTCAGAATCTGAAATCAGATTATCCTCATTGCCTTTCTAGGACAGCAGGGAATTAGATAAAGAAGAAAAGCTACTTATCAACCCAATAACCAAATACAGTTCATAAATGGAAATTAAAGCTGAAAGTGGCTGAGCAACAAAAGTAGAAAAAAGAAAATGGAAGTGAGAAATGGGTCACAACTCACAAGAAAATACCTTTTAAGGACCTGACCAGCACTGCCATCATCAGCAGTGAATAAGCCAATGGCAATGTGCTCTGGTGCAATGAAATTATGAGCTCTGGCTCTTGAATACTCAAGCGCAGCCTCAAGCACCCGCTTCGTGCTAATTGAAAAGGGGACATCAGTAGCAGAAGCAGCTCGACCAGGACTAGCATTAGGAACAAGGTCAGCAGAAGCAGTTTGACTTTGACCACGGTGATGCCAAATGCTCTGAACAGCTTCGCGAGCCTGGTCAATGGTGATGCCAGACCCAAGAAAGCCATGGGAAGTAGGATGAAGATGACGGTGCTGTTCCTCCTCGGCGATCAAACCCAGAAGAAGATGTTGGGGGAAGACCATGTTTCTGCCAAGGGCTCTGGCCTCTCTTTGGGAAAAGATGACGGCTTTGATTGCCCGCTCTGTGAATCGTTCAAAGACCTCAGAGACGATTCGAAGCTTGCTTCTTCTCCTGGCGGTTGAGCCGCTGGGAAAGGGACGAGCTTTGAATTGAGAAAAGAAAGAAGAGGAGAAAGGGGTTGATGGGTTGATGAGGCGAATTGGGTAGATAGAGAAGACTTGGCTGCTGCTGCTTCTGCTGCGATCATGGTGGTGATGAAATTGAGCACAGCAGCAACTGCTAATACAAGTGTTAGCAGATTGTAATGGAAAGTAAGGAAATGATGTCTGGTGAGATGGAGCCCTCCATTGAAGTGATGGTATCAGCACAGAGGATGAAGACGATGACACTTGCATTCTTCTGAACTCTGAATTTTCTCTGGGCAGAGAGAGAGAGAGAGAGAGGGCTTTGAGGTGGGAAGATTTTGCTTCGCTTTGCTTTCAAAAATAGTATAAAGAATAATGGAGGATTTTCGTCTAAATATCTTATATTGATCAATCTGTTATTAAGAGCTCAAGGCCGAAGAAAAGTGTTTGATGCTGTTGTTAACCACGTCCGACGACATCCCTTCATTTGCAAGCAAAGACTTGTTTTTTGCTTCTAGTTTATGCATTTCTCCTTTGTCCACCCTCACATCAATGCCACTTAAACCAAATTAGTCAAAAATCCCCTTAGTATGCTAATATAGGAAAAGAAAAAACTTGAGTCAAAATGTAATTTTTGAGGAGGATTGAAGTACTGCTCAAAAGGTATTGACAAAAGAAAAAAATAAGAACTTTTTAAAAGGGATTTTATCATCGAATTTTAATTGAGTTTTACTTCTCTAATTTGATGGTTAAGTTGTAACTATTTATGCTAAAAACTCAATAATCGTCATTGATCATATGATTTCGTGGTAAGAATAGTGGAGTGTTTGAATCAAGCATAAAATTGGAGTTGTCATAAGTTTATTTTAGGGCATATGGTGCAAATTCTTTATACTTGATCAATCTGTTATTAAGAGCTCAAGGCCAAAGAAAAGTGTTTGATGCTGTTGTTAACCACGTCCGACGACATCCCTTCATTTGCAAGCAAAGACTTGTTTTTGCTTCTAGTTTATGCATTTCTCCTTAGTCCACCCTCACATCAATGCCACTTAAACCAAATTAGTCAAAAATCCCCTTAGTATGCTAATATAGGAAAAGAAAAAACTTGAGTCAAAATGTAATTTTTTAGGAGGATTGAAGTACTGCTAAAAGGTATTGACAAAAGAAAAAAATAAGAACTTTTTAAAAGGGATTTTATCATCGAATTTTAATTGAGTTTTACTTCTCTAATTTGATGGTTAAGTTGTAACTATTTATGCTAAAAACTCAATAATCGTCATTGATCATATGATTTCGTGGTAAGAATAGTGGAGTGTTTGAATCAAGCATAAAATTGGAGTTGTCATAAGTTTATTTTAGGGCATATGGTGCAAATTCTTTATACATTTTAGCCTCGCATGAACCCATACAATAAGAGTTGTTTCTCATGTGTTTTGAATCTGATCGCCATCTAGTGTACCAAACTTGAACACGTGACAATATTGTGACCAGAGTCAGATGAACTTGGTTTCAAGTTTGAAGAAAAAAGCAATTCGTTTTTTGCTTCTCCTTCCATGTTGGGTTTCTTCTTTGGAACAAAAAAGAACAAAATAAGTAGGTTCGAAAATTAAACTTCGGACTGCAAGCAATGGAAGAAGAAAGAAAGACGAAAGGTATTGAATAGAGTGGGGCGGCACGTCAACGCCAAGAACCAGCCAAGTCAATCTAGTGGCAGCCTTTTTTGGTTCCTTTCCTCTTTGTACACGTCGCAAAAGTTGTTTTTCTATTCCACTGTTTATTTGTCCCATTCAGAAAAATAATTGTTTTTTAATTCTTTTCAACAGATTGAGACGGCTGACTTGGCAGATGCCTATTGGGGTGCTGGGCTGGGTTGTTTTTTTTTTGTTTTTTGGGTCAAAAGCTGGGTTGGGTTTAATTGGGCATGTGATGGGTTAAGTCCGTGAAAGCATGCAACATTTTTACCTAACTTTCCTTCCAGCATTCATACATGTTCTGCTAAATACCAAGTTTCAGCCTTAAAAGTTTGGTATGCAACATTTAACCAGCTTTCCATCCAGGTCCAGCATTTAAAAGTGTGTATACTGTACATAATACATATATATTTCTGTTAAATATCAATTTGAGCCCTAATGGAGTGATTATAGAATACATAAATACTGCGTATTCTAATGCAGGCCTACTGCTTTTATTTGGGGCCAGAGATCATACACATGTATTCGTATCGTAATGTAGAAGGCAAAGGAGATTTAACGAAATGGAAAATTGTACCATTATTTGTAGAAGCAGCACCATTTTCAGCTGACTTTCCAGGACCTGCTTACACAAAGAACATGAAACTAGAGTTACAAGAAGGCTAGCAGCTTATTAATCAAAGGTAATATACTAGAGGATCGTAATTACCACTTTGGGTTTGTCCATTCTTTTATTTTTGCCTATAATGATCTGGTGACTTTGAAAGTTGCTGTATATTTTCCTCCAGAAGACTCAACACATAACCTACTTCCTGCCTCGTCGGTGAGATCAACGGTTTAAGCAGGAAGATGTGACAGTGAATATCTTGCTGAGAGATGCACAGCAAGATTTCTATCTTGCATAAACAAGCAGTTATGGTCTTTAACTCTTTCTGCTCCGAGTAATCAAGCATTTTTGCTCCAGACGGGGATTCAACAGCTCTGGGATGAGTCTACTTGGATCCAAAGTTTCTCGGCATAAGCCTTCTCCTCTTCCTTCTCTTCTGCAACATAATCAGTCACCTCAACCACTTCATCTTCGTCTGGCTCTGGATTCTCTTCCATAATTTCCTCGGTTGTAGCTGCTTCTATAAGTCTTTCTCTCTCTTGCTCAGTAAGTTCAGCTAATGCCTCCCTCATAGCCTTCCTTGTTGCTGGCCTGTCTCCTGGCCCATATTTTGGAGCAGGCACAACATATGGCATAACAATATCATCCAAGTTTGTGCTGTTTTTTAGGGCACTACCATCTGTCTCTGTTTGGGGAAAGGTGAAAATGATCCCAAGTTCATAGTTGCAAATATGAAGCATTTGACCCAAAGAAGAGTTGGCATTCCCTAGTCCATTCATGTTCAAACCAAATGGACTATTAATTGGTCGTCCCCAGGCAGCTGCACTGAAATTGTGTGAACCGCAATAAACCCAGCCAAACGAAGATGCATCTGTCCTTGAGTGGAAGCGTCTCCGTGCCACCTGCATATATTAAAAATGTAACGCAGATAAGATGCTACAGTCGTGAAAATATATCATATATCCAATAACTTAGGACAAAGAAACAGTTTTCATTTGATGCTGATAAATTAGAGGTGGAAAACATGAAGAAACTGTAATCATTTAAAAAGACGGAGATTTTCATACCTTGATGTGCATTGGATGTCCTACTCTATCATAGGGATAAGGAATTGCATCATGAAGTATGTCTAAAGTCCTGAGCCTTTGCCATGTTTTCTACGTAAATCAAAAAAGTTGTATGGTCAACAAATAATAAGATCTAGACTAGAGATTACAAGAGACTGAAAACGATCACCATACCTCAGAGAAGCAAAGAATGCGTTTTGAAGGAAAGATTCCATTACATGCATTCTTCACTCTATCAATGGTTGGAAAAAGTATTCTAATGGACGGACTTTTTGATTCTTGACTAGCACTCCAACAGCCCCACTGTTAAGAGATCCAATGAATAAACATGGCATAAATTTTTCAAGATTTTCTATAAAAGGCAAGGGTCTAATTACCTCTGGATCAGACTCTTCAGACTCGAATTCCGAGGATCTTTTTCCTGCAGCTGCTGAAAATGCAGCTACAAATTTTGCATTGATTGACCCAATAGAAGATGCGCCTTAAATTTTTTTTTTTTAAAGGAATCCAACAAAAAATAATCAGAACATGTCTTTGGAGTTCCTTTTTTCATTAATGAATATACATCTTCCAATTTCTTACAAACAAATTAGGATTGTGCAAGATACACTCACCATAAACAAAATCAGAGTCAAGTGATTCAGGCCATTTATATTGACCTAAAACCTGATAAAAATAAAATATTTCATCAGATACTGAAATAACATCATAAACTAGAAAGCCACTGAACAGCATCATTTGCATGTAACTACGTAATTACATTGACTGTATATGCAAAACAGATCTAGTGAGGAAGTATATGATAATCAATGATTGAATACACTGTTCAGAAATTTGATGATTACCTCCTGTAGTCGCCAGAGGCCTGTACACCTTTGAATTGCAGCAATCAGGGAGCTCAATGCAATAAAATGCTGAGATTGCATGATCTTTGATATATTCTCAAACTTAGGTCCCTGCAAAAAGCAGCATCAAGTCTGATATATGCCCACTCCAAAATCCAAAACATCATGCTACTATATAGAGTGAGCTCCAATCTATGACTCCACAAAGTATATGCAATAAATGCTGAATACCTGTGACACATGCAGTATCAGTTGTACTTTCTTGCTGTTTCCTCCTAAAGCTGCAGCAAGGGCTTCTTTAGGACAGACATAACCAGAGAAGCTGAATAATCCAATATCCCAAAGTGGAGAGACCCATTTTGCAACATTTCTAGGCAAGAAGCCAAGTTGAACACAATCTACTACAAGGAAAACGCAGTTATTAAACTTGGGTAGCTAATAGCATGAAGGATCACAACTTAAAACCACATTCACACATTTTGGCAATGCTTATTAAACTGTGCTGCATGCAAGAAGAGCAAAACAACCCCCATTCACACAGTTTTATGATTATAATAGGCAACCACCCAATACCAAAAGTATAGAGTAATTAAAAAACAATCTTATAAAAGTGAGGGTGTTTTTGGACCAAGCAATGTGAAATTTACCTCCCTCATAGAAATTATTGGAGTCAGGAACATGAATGTTCACTGCATTTGCATCTGCAGGTACATTTCTGTTTCTTGTTAAAACAATTGATAAAGCTTTAGCTTTTTCACATGATTTCCTGAGGAATGAAGCCAGCTTCTTAAGTTTTGCACCATTTGAGTCTTTTGCATTGTGAAAGAGGTAGCTTAGACCAACCACAGATGCTTCAACTGATCCAAGGAATTTCGCACCAAATGACCCTGATGCACCATGATCAGCCTGACATGAAAAATTAGCTACAAAATCAAAAACCTAGTTTGATTAAGCAGCCACTGAAAAAATCATATTAAGTCTTCCCTATTGGAACTTATAAAATGCATCTGCTAAAAGTGAGTTAAATTCTATCTAGAAAGCTTTCTTGTATCCTTGAAAAGTTGACATTTACTGAATTCCCTACCCACAATAGAAAAAAATAATAATAATAATAATAATCATGGAAGGAGAGGTGGAAGTTTAACTTCCAAGAAAAACATTGAAACATATTACTATCAATTTAGGCAATGGCTGAACTCAAGTTTCTGGGTAACTTCCCAAGCCAATGAACCAATAAAAAGACAAATGTCTGTAATTATAGATAAGGAAATGTAAAGGTGGCGTTGACATTTGCGAATCAGCTTCC